ATATAAAAAATTCACGCACTTTAGGAAAAATATCAAGAAGCAATGTGTGAATTCCTATTAACTTACGGATTCGTTTCTTTGATGTTTATAATAAGAAAATGAGAATAATATGTAATGAATGAATAACGAGATATGAATTTTTATGAATTTTTACGTAACAAAAGTACTGATTAAAATTAAAAAAATATATAATACTGGTTATAAGTAAAAATATTATCGTCGTTATATCACGATCACGGTGTGAATATACTGGCGAGAAAGTTAAGGCAATTCTTTTTTTTTTTCTTTCACGGTGATCTCGTCCGCGATCGATGCTTTCTTCTCTTGTTTACACTACACGGTCGATCCCGCGAGGCGTAACTGCGCTTTCGAGGAAAATTATCGAACGCGAATAATTCAATCTCTCTCGCTTTACTTTCAGAGCGGAAAATGCCGCGACGACAACGACGACGCCTCGGAGATCGCGTTAAACTCGCGATGTAAACCTGGTTACACTTCTTCCTCGTCGTGTGTGCGTGCATACGTACGTACGTACGTGCGTGCACTCGTCCTATCTTTCTTTTTATAGACGCGAAAGGGTGGGGGGAGAGGAGGAAGAGAAGAAGGAAGAGCGTGTCCGCTCTGTCAACTCGAGAGGGAGAGATACCTGTCTTTGGTATCGATTACTTTAATAAGCCGCGCGCTTCCGTTTACGGAAAGGGGGCTCGACGCAACCTAGTTTCCCGATTACCGCATCCAGATTACCGCCGCAGCCTCGTTCGCGAGACGACACGCTACATGCGAACGTAAACGCGAATTGTTAGATAATCGATGACGCGCGTCCCGCATATCCATACCCTACGAGGGAGAGATTGAGCTACGGATTGTCAATTCCAACGCGCCACTGCGTTTTATTGAGTATATCTCGCGTAAAGGGGACGGTGCGAATATGGGAAGATACATTTCTTATTGCGTGCTTGAAGCTTAATGCGTGAAAAGATTTCTATTTTCTTAAGAGAGAGAGCTATTGATACAGCGGCGTTTCTTATTTTAAGAGAGATCTTAAAGTTTTATTCCAGTTAATTACAACAAATCGTTAATCGTTGTTCATATTTACAAATTTGTGATATAAATTGTGAATTGTACTGAATGAATAATGTTAATTACATTTGTAACTGTTTAGAACGAAATTTTAAGAATGAGTTCTTTATTATTTAAATTTAAGAAAAAATTTTGTATATAAGAGAATGTTAAAGTAATTTTTCCAAGTCTCAAGCATGCAAACAGATAGTAAAAAAAAATCTTTCTTTCCTTCTTGCCGCTATAATTATACCTACGCAGAACTCGTTAAGCATTAAACAAGATTAATTACTGTTTTTGCATATACAAATCATTATCGTGCAGAGATTTAGTTTGTTGCGGGTGCGTTGACGCACATAGTAAATCATCATCACCGGCATCAGCCTAACTGTACCTTCTCACCTTCACGAGCACGTCATTTTCACTTCCTGGGATTGCGCAATCGCGCCAGGCGTTTTACAGTTTCGATTGTCCGGTAATAATGTTGAAACGTCGATCGAGATACCGTTATGAAATCTTTTGTTGCTGATTGGACGTATCCCGATGCACGCCGGAACCATCGGACGGATTACGGAGTTTGTGCCGCGAAGATTCTATTTCTTCTTGTTAAGAATGTTGATAACAACATTCATAACATCCACAACTCGCATAATGAATACCGTGGAGCTAAAGCGACGTTCCGTCCACGTATTTAAAACGTTTCGAGCAAGTTGTCCGACGGGCAGATTAGCGCAAATGCGGATGTGACGTAGCCCCGTGTACAGTAACAACTGTCGGCTCTCCGTCTAGAAATAGGGACTTCCAGCTCCGACATCTCTTCGCATAATTCCAGATGAAATGGCGTTTTCGTGTAATTCGCATGGCAATATAAATTATCACATGCGGATATATCAAATTATTAAATCTTTGACATCTTATTAGTACATTGCGAGCGAAATCTGTCTCAGCAGAGTGTTAAACCATCAAGAATCGAGTCCGGCCTCTTGAAATTGCTTTACTTTATTATAATTATCACGTTACAAGACAAAATTATCTTACCGCACAAGCGGTAATGCGAAATACGACAGTTGAAAGATTTCTTTCACGTAATTCATTTCCATCAATTGGCACGTATAAAGAACTCAACTGTTGATGTACATTTAATCTACCTTAAATTACTATACTTTCTATTTTGTTTTATTATTTTTCCCCTCGTAAACTCTAAAGTTTTCTGGTAAAAAGTAGCAATTTGGATTTAAAAAATTGACAATCCTTACGCGTATAGATACCGACAGAAGCGTAATTTCGCAATCGAAAAGTCGCGAGCAATTTCAAACCGAGAGCGTTACTAATTAGTTCGACCTTAACTAGCTTGTTTCTCTGCATCGAGCAATTTGCGCTAATGAATACGCGGTCGAGTACCAAGTACCTCAATTGCCGTTTTATGACATTGTGTTTAAAGAGACGTTTAAAGATCGATTTCCTTAAATCAGTTGGAACTTACTGACGTAACATGATTTGTTGCTCGCTTGTCGGCACGAGCGAGCGGTACGTATATACGTACGGATTGCTGGAAAATCGCCGACGTGTCGGCCGCAAGTCCCCTGTGGTGCCACTGACAGGAATTGTGCCTCGAGGACGATATATCCGCGATCCGATCTAATTCGCTGCTCCATTTTATGGCAGATTTCATTGGTACCGTGAATAATCGCGTGCTTCCTGTGCCGCGTCCCAGGAAAAGTCGCGCGCGGGCTTAGTCCGTTACGTAATGCAGCTGTGCGTTGCTTGCGGAGATTTTCTCAGATTTCTGCGAACAACTGCAAACGTCTGAACTCCTCGCGCCTCAAAACCCGCGGCGAATTGTAATTTAATCGGACGTGAAAAATCTTTGGATGTTGGAAGATCGAGAGACGATCTCTCGGGATGTGAATGGAACGTGGATTATGGCGCGGCGCGTATGTCACTTGAGATGTTACATTATTTATCAGCCGCCTGGCGAGCGCCATGCTGAATGCCTTTGGCAGTACGCAATCCCCCTCGTTAATATTATTCGTCTAATGCAACAATCGTGTGCTATTTATAATAATCTGTCATACGTGGAAGGCACAGCGTCTAATTAAGCGACCAAAAACTGCTTTCAAACCGTTTCACTTTTTGCAAGGATTGTTAATCTCTCTCCTGAATATTCATTATTTAATTTTTGCTGTTGAGTCTTTATTTATTTCTATCGAATTTCACTGATTTAATTTAAAGCGTTCAATTAACGTATATCAAAATACACTCGAACTAATCGGGAAGATGATTAATTAGCCGGCACAGAAGGCACTTTATTCGCAATTAATAAATTAATTCGCAGAGACGCATCGACCGCTAGCCAAAGTACGCGGAATGCGGAATTTCTATCGCGAGCGTTTGTATCTGTAGCGTTCGCGGATATTTATAACGTCCAAAGCGGCGGATTCTTTTGTCCAATAACGGATCTTCAATAAGAGCACAACGGAGGGTTCGGTGATTCAGCGAAGCTTCCCAGCGGGCCCTTGATGACACGCGACGGAATGCCACGATCGTCCGCGGGATTATTCTGGACACGAGTACACATTTTGTTAGTCGCGACGCATACCAATAGTTTTGACTTTATTCCGCTGTAAAATCAAGTCGAAATCTTTATCACCGACGACAACGACGATTCTCCTGTGTCCCGGCTGAGGAAAGAGCAAATCGGGTCATCGTAAGGTCGTTCACCTCGCGCGCGCGGTTCCTCTAGATTTCGCCCCGTTAATTTTAATCGCTAAAAACGGGCAGTTACTTTCTAGAGCATCCACATTTAAAATTTTTTTTTTATTTCTGTCCGAATCAAAACCCGTAATTATATATCTAGTTAATTGGATCATCTTCAGATATCCGATATATGTTCAAATCTGCGAATTCGTATCTTTGCTCGCAGATCACGGTGTGCAAAAATTTATTGGAATTATATATAAACGCAATTAAAGTAAAAAGGATGCTTTGCGAATATATATATGTGTGTGTGTTATTTTCGTATACTTCGTAGTCGCGGTAGGAATGAATTCGAAGTCACGTAGTGCAAGTTACTTTTAGCTCCGAACAATTAATGTAAGGCATTAAGGTATTATTCCCGTCTTAAGAATTAAACAGCACGAAACAGTAATAATGGCAGTTAATAATTAGAGTTTTCTGCCAAACGCACTTGTTTAATCAGTCAAATTAAAAATCTTTTTTTATCACTGGCATGTTAAAGGCCAGTCGTGCGAGATTGAAACGAATCAAACGAATCACGTCGATGTGACAGTCTCTAAAGTTCGAATCCGAGCATCGACTCTCGAAATCTCGTTAGCGGAATGGAGCTTGCAGCTTCGGAGGGGGGGGGGAGGCGGGTATGTTGCCGGGAAAACTGGGTCATCGTAAGGGCGTTTACCCGCTTCACACCTCCGCGATTCTTACCCGCCGGTAAAAGGCCGCTGCCTACTGCGGCAAGGAATCGTTTCGAAGAAGAATACAATCGCTGTGTAACGGCGATTTCTGCGATTGCATCTTTTACATCGCGCCTACAGCCCGTGGTGATTTTAGCTCCCCAAGACTCGACCCACGACGGCAAGTTCGTCGGGCGATAAACGTCGAAACGATCAGCCGCATTGAAGCAACTGGGAGTAATTGCAAAACGATTACTCCCAGTTGTTAAACTTGCTATCGCACGTTTCGTCGATTTTTATAATGGTTTTCGAACTGATAAACGGCAGAAACCTTCTTGGGAGCGATTCGATTGAAAGAATCGAGTAAATCAAATTAATCTCGCCGATTAATAGGTATACGTATAAGGCATACACTGAAAAAAGTAATCTTGCAATTATAGCGAGAATTATTTAGGTACGAAAAATGAGCTAAAACGGATTAGTATAAACACTGCGATGTCATATATGTTTTGTATTTGATCAATATAGATAACAGAAACAGAAATTATACTTGAACTATTTGTCACATTTAGCAAGAAAGTTCTTCTATGACGTTTAATCAGTCCAGACTCTAATCATATTTAGTTATGAGATCTATGTTTTCTTGTATATATTCTTAGAATATTGCTGCTATAAATTCTACGTATGACAGACAATTTTTTAGCAGATACAAAAAAAAACAGTGATATAATTTAAGTGTAATATTTACAATCCTATAGGTGAAACATTTCCCTGAGTGATACGATGCGAGTCGCGTCGTCGATTTGTCTACAGCGATGATTCGTAGTGCGTTAACGATTTTTCTTGGTGTCCTAATAATAAATGAGACTTAATTATAATTAAGAACAATTCGCGATAATAACAGTAAATATGTATTCGTTATTTATATTTTCACGCTTAGATACGTTATTATCTAAACTATTTGCACGTTATTGCAAGTATCTTCTGTGATTGACACGCTACCAAATTTCGCTAACGTAATATTAAGTACTATTATATGACTAACTGTTGTATGATCGCGCTGTCTTCTCTATACAACGTACAACTGACGAAGATCAGATAATTCAAAGGATATTATTAGGCACTTCACCCTATCACTCCATTGAATGCCATATTATTGACGATTAAAGCTTGGCTCTAACGATCTCGAGGGACGCGGAGGAAATCTCGTATTCGGAGTGATAAATTGTCGCGTTCGGGGCGCGGAGGGAATTCGATTTCGAGCAGCCCAGGACAGAGGCTCCAGGGTTAAAGGCAGGGTTCAAAACGCAGGGTATTTACCTGCCCTGCTCCCTTCACCTTATGCAGGTACTCTCGACGTGTGTTCGCCGCGGACACCGGCGCCACGGTGACTCCGGTGGAAAATCAATAATCCTGGCTCTGTGTATGTGCCCGTGCGCGCCTGTGTGTGTGCGCGCCGTGTTCATCTTACCTTCGGCGTTGCGACGAGACGGTGCGGTGGTTCGCTTATACCTATATCGGATCTTTTTTTGCGGTGAAGGAGGCGCCATCGAACTTGGGCACAAAAGCGCGATTTAATTCGCATGATTAGATGACGAAACGTGGTTCCGTTGAGTATCTCGTCTTGAGCCGACCTGAAGATAGACCGCCGAAGAGGTCGACGTTACGCTTATCTGTGCGCGATTTCGTTCCGCAGCCGCAACAAACCTATATCGTTAAGGTTGCGACACTTGTAAATACTCTTCATAAACTCTATTCCTTTGTAAATCACGTAAGATAATTTTGAGATGGAGGTGATTAGAGATGATTTTGAGATAGGGATATTTTAGGATATAGATTTAGAAGAGCTGACGAGAGTGTATGGCTAATTATAAATAACTAACTACGTAGATGATATCGATTTTGTGTTTTCGTGATATATAAGCATTTAAATGTCTGTATTGTATAAATGAATAGTGTGGCATTTGAAAAGTGATTATATGCGGTTCAAATCATTTTTAAAAAGTTTCTCAGTAAACGAAAAACCGAGAACTATCGTTTAAGAGATAATGCTAGTAGCATAGAGGTCACGCAACCGTTATCGAGAGAATTGAAGAAATCTTTTTGCCTGTATAACGAGAGAAAGCTGCAGAAGGAGCTGGATGTATTTAAACAACAGGATCCTGCTTCGTGGAACCCCCAAGCTGCAGTGTGGGGACTCGCGGTGCATACATACAGAGACCGGCTGTTCTCGTTCCGGTGCACAATGAGCTTCTTGTTTTCCATTTTCACTTCTTACTCTACCGTACTTTATCGAGTTCAACAGAGAGCTCTTCGTGACGGCACATACACACTAAACGTAATTTGTTCGAAAAAAAAAAACGTTATTAATCTTTGCACCTTTTTTTCCAATCTATAACTCAACTTCAAAAAGAGCGACTCTTTAAAAAAATGGTAGTCAGACATATAATAACCTGCGTTATTAAAAATACTATTGCTATCATAATTGTTGAGTGGAAAACCTATAATAATAAACAGTCGTTGCTGCATATGAAGTCTATATCTTTGAAACTTAATGAAGGAGATTATTGTTTCATTATTTTTTATTTCCAGTTTTTTTCTAACACATGCATGTCTGATGTGTACTTAATATTTTAATCAATTAATTTTCAATTATTTAATAATTTTAATTTTTTAAAAATAAATTAAATTATTTCTTATTTTATGAAAATAAAATTCCGTTTGGAAATCATTCATGTTCGCGTAAACTCTTTTTGAAAAAAGAGGTTTCGGGAGTACGTCCTGCTTTTCTCGGCGACCAGACTTTAGAAAGTGCCACCAGTAAACTTAACCTTCCTCGATTATCGAGTCATTCACTTTGTGATTCATCTCATCCCGCCCACTAGATACGAAGGCATTAATCTGTATGTACGTTCCCACTACGTTGGCCATTAAGTATGACGGCACTCGTGTAATTGCTCTTAATTCAACGTAAGTGACTGTCCAGACATTTAAGAATGCCATTCATGCGCGCGTTCCACCAGGCTTTCGACGTCGCTCGGGGAGAACACGTCGATCTCGTCGCGAAGCGATCGATCTGTCGCTTCACGCCGGTATTATTAACGATTCGAGAGAGGATTAGAGTCTTGTGTGCAAAATACCGATTACACCGCTTCTGCCTCCTTCCTTTCCTTCCCCCCAGATATAATTTGTCAGGTATATAATAATAAATTCGTGACAGCAAGCGGTAATTCCATTGGCGTCTTTATGCGCGACGATAAGCCTCGAGGACGCTTGTTAATTGAAAATGCCGACCAGCAAGGTTACGTAATGGATAATAAAAATTGTGACGCGCTGCAGGAAAATTGTGTAAAAAAATATAAAAAATACATACACACACTTATAAGTCGCGTGATTTTTTACACTCGCTCGTGTAATTTTTGTGAACAGTGCGTCTTTAAGTCCAGTATAGGATGACGTAATCATGTTTGCGCACCGGACGATTTTATCATGAAGCTGCTCCTCTCAATTTGTCGTTTTCATCATTAGATCACTATATCGGTTTACTCCGGTTTTCCTTGAGCTTCTCGCGCGCCCGAACGTCCGCGACAATACCTGCCGTGTTACTTTACCTGTGACATTTGGTCTGTTTAAAGATAAAAAAGAAAAGTCGATATCGCTCGCTCGTGCAGCTGCAGCTGCAACTGTTCGTCGTGTTATCGGTATTCATCAGTAAACGTCGTCCGCGATGGATCGTCGTAAATTAGACAACGCGGTTAATCAGGCGTCACCCTTCATTATGCCGGTCTGTTTTTAATGTTGAATCACATTGGTGACGCTGATCCTTGCGTGAGTTTACAAGAGAGAACACGATTACGTAATTAATGCTTATTGGTGTTAATTGATGTTTATATTCACAGAGAATCCGTTTCTGATCATATATTTCCATTTCCTCCATATATGCATATATGTACACATGTTAATTGTAATGTGAAGGCGAATATAGAAGATATTTTTTGATCTTCAATCACAGATCTAAAAGGAACGATTTCCTCCTTCTGCCATAAAAACTCGCATGCATTTAAATTACAGGACGAGTGCCATTATATTTCGCGTACTGCATTTTGCTATACACTGCAGCGAATATGCAAAATAATTATGCGAACACAGCACGAGTAAAAATCATACAATATATTGTATACTTAAATAGAAATACAAATTTCAGTTATAAATCGCCCGATTTTTACATCTGTTATTCATGTAATTTCTTACATCGTTTTTTAACAAATTTTTATAAATTAGACTACTATTCGATAAATTATTTAGATAATTTAATAAATATTTATCACATTAGCATAAATCTACGTTTCTAGACCTCAGATACTCTTCGCAAATCTTTTCAATGACGTAAAGAGATGGAAAAAGAGAATCGATTCCATTTTTTTTTTGTATCGATCTTCGTTTCTCGTATTTATCTACGTGTAGAACATTCAAAGTCTGCTTGGCACGTGCTCCAAGCTTATCGTGTATGCAAGCGCGATCCCGTGTCGTAAGTCGACACGTTACGCCAATGCCGGCGAGCGTGTCTACCTTTTCGTCAAGTCACCTTCCTGCGGGGTCCGGTGCGACGCCGATGCCGATGTGTATATTTCGCGTGTGTGACATCATTCGCGTGATGTAATCGTCGTGGCGAGCGAGGCGGCCGCGTCTCCCACGCGGAGGCAAGCGCGCGGTAATGCTATCTATTAAATGAGCGCACGTATGTGTACCTAGAGCCGTGTACTCTACGGGCGTTAACAGAACGTTGCCACCTCCTTGATATCCGGCGAGCTCGGCGATAGGAGCGATGCAATTAGTTGGCGGTATCGGGACGATTCGAGGAATACGAGCATATGGATGAAAAAAATAATGGAAAGAAAAACGGAGATGGATTCTCCGACTATAGGAACAACGATTGCAACACGACATTTCTCGCCGGTGTTTTTTTTTTGTACACCACCATTGCATAGAGTTTAAATTATAATGTCCCACGGTAAAAACAATACGATCGAAAAGGAGATGACTCTCGTGTAGAAATAAATGGGGGAAAAAAGCCACAGTTCTGGTTATCGCGGGACTCTGTACGATAATGCGACTTGTGGGTGTTGATTTAAGGAAATGTGCCTTTATTAAGTGCTCCAACAATAGATGTGACGCAGAGAATTTATAGATTTATTACACGGATCAATCCCATGTAAAACAGGCATAGAAGTTTATTTATTGCAGCGCTTCTCGAAAGCCGATTTATCAGTATTTACCTTCAGATACTAAAGATACAATTTTTATGATGTGAAGAACAAATTATTATTATTATTATACCTACGTTGCGATTGGACCGTTGATGAGAAGAGATGTGCACGAGAAATGTATTTTAAACTAACGAAATTGAAGGGAAAGATGAATGAAGGACTAACATTGTACGTAGGCGCGCGCAATCGTGCCTTGTTATCGAATAGTGTTGCGTAACATCTCTTTCGAAGTCCCTTCTATTTACCCAATTATTAATCGTTAGACCCGCCGTGCAAGAAGATAAGATTACTCTGCAATTCTTATCTGTACGCGTAGATTGACGCGCGCTGACCGTAGCTTGCCAAGACACGTTCCGTACATCGCGTTACTTACCATTACGCCGCGTGGGTAGCAAAAAAGAAGAAATTTTTATGATTATTACTTACGTCCTCTCGTTTGCATTTTATGCGTGGTGCCGCGTTTTCTAGGCGCGCGGTTGAAGGTCTTACTGTTAGATATTCAACGCTGAATATCTTCTACATCTAAATTATGTAACGTGTATGTAAAGGACTGCGAAAAATATTTGGCGTTAAGCATTAATAGCCCTTTAATTCAGAATCTGGATCGCGTGATGAAACGAATGGAGACGTGATCTTGTAAAAATTTATAATATAAATATTACATATTCTATATAACATAAATAAAATATATTTTATATATATATATATATTATAATGAGAGAGAAAAGAAAGAATATATAAATTTTTTTTCAAAAATTTCTCCGATTCCGTGCACTAACAAATTTACGATATCGTTTTCAGGTGCACCCTTTTTAAGGGTTCGGCAGAAGTGAGCTGTTGGTCTGATTGACAAAATGACGACCGACATCTCGGTGGTGCGCGGGGGTTGGGACCCCACGCTACAACAAGAGATTGTCGACGAGTACGAATACGACGGGGGAAACTCGAGTTCGAGACTTTTCGAACGCTCACGTATCAAGGCGTTAGCTGGTACGAAATTCTATCGATTTTCTTTTTTGCTTTATATATATATATTTTTTGTTATAATTATCTTTTACGTCTTTTACAATTATTATTTTTTTTGTAAAGATAATAGTGTGATTTTTGTTTTTATCAATTCTGTAATGAATACTTAAAGCTCGGCTTTGTAATACTATTCTGTAATAGTAATGAATGGCGATACTGGGGCATTGTGTGAATTGTTTTTAGAAAATTGTATAACGGTTAGGATTATCAAACAACCACATCCTTTTCAGATAATCATTTTAAGAATTCGATAACTTCATAAGTTTCTAACAGTTGCTTTTCAGATTAGATTGAAAGTAGTTGAAGTACGTAAGAAAGTACGAAGTGTATAGCTATCGTTGAATGTACCATACATATATTGAATATTATATAAAGTTAAACTTATTAAACAATTAATTGGATAGATTAAAATAATGTTGATCATTTGTGCAAGTGAAAATATAATAAATATCAGAATTACAGTTTATTAACTTTAAGAATGAATTATGATAAAGTCGTGTTTGATCTCCGAGGTAAAAAAACTCTATCTTAATTATTTAAAGATTTCAAAGCCTATCTATTAATTTAATTAAATTATTGTCTATCGGATACTAGATTTAGCTATATCTCTAAAATCAATTTTAAAATTAGCATACATTAATGGGTGTTTATTAACGATTCATTGAGACCGCTTTCGTGTGATCTTCTTCACCAGGTGAGCGTGAATTAGTGCAAAAGAAGACCTTCCAGAAATGGGTCAACTCCCACTTAGTCCGATGTTCGTGCCGAATCGGCGATCTGTACGTCGATCTGCGAGACGGCAAGATGCTGATAAGGCTGTTAGAGATCTTGTCGGGTGAGCGTTTGCCGCGCCCTACCAAGGGCAAGATGCGCATCCACTGCCTGGAAAACGTGGAGAAGGCACTGCAATTCCTACGCGAGCAGAGAGTACATCTGGAGAACATGGGTTCTCACGACATCGTTGACGGGAATCCACGTCTGAGCTTGGGTCTCATCTGGACGATAATCCTGCGATTCCAGATTCAGGACATCACGATCGAAGAGACGGACAATCAGGAGACCAAGTCCGCCAAGGACGCGTTATTATTATGGTGTCAAATGAAGACCGCGGGTTATCACAATGTGAACGTAAGAAATTTCACGACGTCGTGGCGGGACGGTTTGGCGTTCAACGCGATCATACACAAGCACCGTCCGGATCTGATTCAGTTCGACAAGCTGTCCAAGTCGAACGCCATTTACAATCTCAACAATGCCTTTAACGTCGCGGAGGACAAGCTCGGCCTCACGAAGCTACTGGACGCCGAGGATATCTTCGTCGATCATCCAGACGAAAAGTCCATCATAACGTATGTCGTCACGTATTATCACTATTTCTCGAAGATGAAACAGGAGACCGTGCAAGGTAAGAGAATCGGCAAAGTGGTCGGTATTGCGATGGAGAACGATCGTATGATACACGAGTACGAGAGCCTCACCAGCGATCTGCTGCGCTGGATCGAGGCCACGATAGAGGCGCTCGGCGACCGCAGGTTCGCGAATTCCCTAGTGGGCGTTCAATCACAACTTTCGCAATTCTCGAATTATCGCACGGTAGAAAAACCGCCCAAATTTGTCGAAAAGGGTAATCTCGAGGTATTGCTGTTTACTCTACAGTCGAAGATGCGGGCAAACAATCAGAAGCCCTACACGCCCAAAGAGGGTAAGATGATATCCGACATCAACAAGGCATGGGAGAGATTGGAAAAGGCTGAACACGAACGGGAATTGGCCTTGCGCGAGGAACTGATTCGGCAAGAGAAATTGGAGCAATTGGCAGCTAGATTTAATCGTAAGGCTAGCATGCGCGAGACATGGCTGTCGGAAAATCAGCGATTGGTATCGCAGGATAACTTCGGCTTTGATCTCGCTGCCGTGGAAGCCGCCGCAAAGAAGCACGAAGCTATAGAGACTGACATCTTCGCCTATGAGGAACGTGTGCAGGCCGTCATGGCGGTGTCGCAGGAGCTCGAAGCGGAGAATTATCACGACATTGAGCGTATCAATGCTCGCAAGGACAACGTGCTGCGATTGTGGAATTATCTTCTGGAATTGCTGCGCGCCAGGCGGATGCGGCTGGAATTATCCTTACAGCTGCAGCAGAACTTCCAGGAGATGTTGTACATATTGGACAGCATGGAGGAGATTAAGCTGCGACTATTGACGGACGATTACGGCAAGCATCTGATGGGCGTGGAGGATCTGTTGCAGAAGCACTCTCTCGTCGAAGCGGATATCAATGTGCTCGGCGAGAGAGTCAAGGCCGTCGTTCAGCAGAGGCAGAGATTCTTAGAGCATGAAGAAGGCTATCGACCGTGCGATCCGGCCATCATCGTCGAGCGCGTGCAACAATTGGAGAACGCGTACGCCGAGTTGGTGCGTTTAGCGATCGAGCGTCGCACCAGGCTCGAGGAATCTCGGAAACTCTGGCAATTCTATTGGGATATGGCCGACGAGGAGAATTGGATAAAGGAGAAGGAACAGATCGTATCCACGGGTGACATCGGTCACGACTTGACTACCATCAACCTGCTGCTGTCCAAACACAAGGCATTAGAGAACGAGATACAGTCGCACGAACCGCAGTTTATGTCGGTTGCAGCAGTTGGCGACGAGCTAGTCCGACAACAACACTTCGGCTCCGATCGTATTCAGGAGAGACTTCAGGAGATACTCGCTATGTGGAATCATCTGTTGGATTTGGCGGCTTTCAGAAGAAAGCGACTCGAAGAGGCTGTCGACTATCATCAGCTTTTCGCAGACGCGGACGACATAGACATCTGGATGCTGGATACTTTGCGACTCGTCTCGTCGGAGGATGTCGGCAGAGACGAGGCAAACGTGCAATCGCTATTGAAGAAACACAAAGATGTAACGGACGAGCTTAAGAACTATGCCACTACTATCGATCAACTTCATCAGCAGGCGTCTACGTTGGGCGAGCAGGATGCCAAATCGCCGGAAGTTCTGGAGAGATTGTCTTCGATAGATAACAGGTACAAGGAGCTCCTCGAGCTGGCCAAGTTGCGTAAGCAGAGACTGCTAGACGCTCTGTCGTTGTACAAGGTGTTCAGCGAGACCGACGGAGTTGAACAGTGGATCGGCGAGAAGAATAGGATGCTGGATACAATGGTGCCCGCCAAGGATATTGAAGATGTCGAGATCATGAAACACCGCTATAACGGTTTCGAGAAAGAGATGAACGCGAATGCATCCCGCGTCGCTGTGGTTAATCAATTGGCTAGACAGTTGTTGCACGTTGAACATCCGAACTCTGAACAGATAATCGCACGACAGAACGAGTTGAACCAGAAGTGGGCCGAGCTGCGTGAGAAGGCGGAGGGTAAACGCGAGGAATTAAACTCCGCACATGGTGTGCAAACGTTCCACATCGAGTGTCGGGAGACCGTGTCCTGGATCGAGGACAAAAAGCGAATCTTACAGCAGACCGACAGTTTGGAGATGGATCTGACTGGCGTGATGACGCTGCAGCGCAGACTGAGCGGTATGGAGCGCGATTTGGCGGCCATCCAAGCCAAATTAGATGCTCTGGAGAAGGAGGCGGAAGTCATACAGAAGGATCATCCAGAGGAGGCTGCGATGATACGCGAAAGAATCACGCAGATTCATTTGATTTGGGAGCAGCTGACGCAGATGTTGAAAGAGCGCGATGCCAAGCTCGAGGAAGCCGGTGACTTGCACCGATTCTTGCGCGATCTCGATCACTTCCAGACATGGCTCACGAAAACGCAGACTGACGTTGCCAGCGAGGACACGCCGACCAGCCTTGCCGACGCCGAGAAGCTGCTTACGCAGCATCAAAATATCAAGGAGGAGATCGACAATTACACCGACGACTACCAGAAGATGATGGAGTATGGCGAGCGGCTGACGACGGAAGCCGGCGACGGTGATACGCAGTACATGTTCTTGCGCGAGAGATTGAACGCACTAAAGATGGGCTGGGAGGAGTTGCATCAGATGTGGGTGAATCGTCAGAACTTACTGTCAAACTCCCTGAATCTACAGGTATTCGATCGAGACGCGCGACAAGCGGAGGTGCTCCTATCGCAGCAGGAGCACATTCTTGCCAAGGACGAAACGCCGGCGAACTTCGAGCAAGCGGAACACATGATCAAGCGACACGAGGCCTTTATGACCACCATGGATGCCAACGACGAGAAAATCAATTCGGTCGTACAGTTTGCCGGACGTTTGGTTGACGAGGGACACTTCGCGGCCGATAAGGTGAAGAAGAAGGCCGAGAACATCAACGAGCGTCGGCAAATTAATCGCGACAAGGCCAATCTACTTATGGAAAAACTCAAGGACCAGCTTCAGCTGCAGATGTTCCTGCAAGATTGCGAGGAACTCGGTGAATGGGTACAGGAGAAACATATCACTGCTCAAGACGAAACGTACAGAAGCGCGAAGACTATTCACAGCAAGTGGACCCGTCACCAAGCGTTCGAAGCGGAAATCGCTAGTAACAAAGACCGCCTACAGCAATTGCAGCAGGCCGCGGACGAATTGATTCTACAGAAGCCGGATCTAGCCGAGATTATCAAGCCGAAGGTAACCGAATTGGCGGAACAATTTATCGAACTGGAGACCACGACTCATGACAAAGGCGAGCGATTGTTCGATTCGAACCGCGAGGTATTGATACACCAGACCTGTGACGACATCGATTCCTGGATGAACGAGTTAGAGAAGCAGATAGAAAGTACCGACACCGGTTCCGATCTGGCGTCCGTCAACATATTGATGCAGAAGCAACAGATGATCGAGACCCAAATGGCGGTGAAAGCGAAACAGGTTACCGAGCTGGACAAACAGGCAGAACACTTGCAACGCACAGTACCCGACGACAAAATGGAGGAGATCAAGTTCAAGAAGGAGAAGGTCGCTCAGAGATTCGCCCAGCTTAAGGCGCCGCTCATCGATCGTCAACGGCACCTCGAGAAGAAGAAAGAGGCCTTCCAATTCCGACGCGACGTCGAGGATGAGAAGCTGTGGATAGCAGAGAAGATGCCTCAGGCAACTAGCACCGAGTACGGAAACTCGCTGTTTAACGTTCACATGTTGAAGAAGAAGAACCAGTCGTTGCGCACGGAAATTGAGAATCACGAACCGAGAATCAATTTGGTGTGCAATAACGGACAGAAGCTGATTGACGAAAGACACGAGGACAGCCCCGAGTTCCAGAAACTGATACCCGAATTGACGGAGAAGTGGCGTGAATTGAAGGACGCAGTCGATGACAGAAACAAGCATCTACTGCAGAACGAGAAGGCGCAGCAGTACTTCTTCGACGCTACCGAGGCCGAGTCGTGGATGAGCGAGCAGGAGCTGTACATGATGGTCGAGGATCGTGGCAAGGACGAGATCTCTGCCCAGAACCTGATGAAGAAGCACGAGTCGCTCGAACATGCGGTTGAAGATTACGCGGAGACGATCCGTCAATTAGGCGAGACCGCCAGGCAGCTGATAAACGATCAACACCCGCTGGCCGATCAGATCGCCGTGAAACAGTCGCAGGTGGACAAACTGTACGCCGGTTTGAAGGACCTGGCTGGCGAACGACGCGCCAAACTGGACGAGGCACTCCAATTGTTCATGCTGAATCGAGAAGTCGACGACCTCGAACAATGGATCCAGGAGAGAGAATTGGTCGCCGGCAGTCACGAGTTGGGCCAGGATTACGATCACGTCACGCTATTGTGGGAGAGATTCAAGGAGTTCGCGCGCGATACCGAGGCGATCGGTTCCGAGCGAGTGGAGGCTGTCAACGGCATCGCCGACTCTCTCATCGCCACCGGGCATTCTGACGCGGCGACGATCGCCGAGTGGAAGGACGGCTTGAACGAGGTCTGGCAGGACCTGCTGGAGCTGATCGAGACGCGCACGCAGATGCTGGTGGCCAGTCGCGAGTTGCACAAATTCTTCCACGATTGCAAGGATGTTCTCGGCAGAATCCTGGAGAAACAAAACGCCATGTCTGACGAGTTGGGTCGCGACGCCGGCTCGGTGTCCGCCCTCCAACGTAAACATGCCAACTTTATTCAGGACCTGTCCACGTTGCAGAATCAAGTGTCGCAAATCGAGGAGGAATCCGCCAAGTTGCAGGCGAGTTACGCGGGCGACAAGGCGCGAGAGATCACGAATCGCGAGGCCGAGGTCGTAGCGGCGTGGAACAATTTGCAATCGTTATGCGAGGGCAGACGAATGAAATTGGAGGACACCGGCGATCTCTTCCGATTCTTCAATATGGTCAGGACCCTGATGATCTGGATGGACGACGTGGTGCGCCAGATGAACACGTCCGAGAAACCGCGCGACGTCGCCGGCGTCGAATTACTGATGAACAACCATCAGAGCTTGAAGGCGGAGATCGACGCCAGGGAGGATAATTTAATGGCGTGTATTAATCTCGGAAAAGACCTGTTAGCTAGGAATCATTATGCCAGCGTGCAGATAAAGGAGAAACTGGCGGCATTGACCGATCACAGGAATGCATTGTTACACCGATGGGAGGAACGTTGGGAGAATTTGCAACTCAGTAAGTAAAAAAAAAAAATGTTTTGTGTATTCTGGTCGTATGATATATATTGTATTTAATACTCGCTTACTTACGTTTTGCTGCAGTTTTGGAAGTCTATCAATTTGCCCGAGATGCGGCGGTTGCTGAAGCATGGTTAATCGCTCAAGAGCCATATCTCATGAGCCAGGAGCTTGGTGTAAGTAAATATTATACAAATATTGCAAGCACGAGAATTTTTAATTGAATCTTTCTTTAAAAAAACTTGTTATTTTCCACAGCATACTATCGACGAAGTTGAGAATTTAATCAAGAAACACGAGGCTTTCGAAAAGTCGGCAGCTGCCCAAGAAGAAAGGTTTAGTGCCTTGCATCGACTTACTACTGTAAGTAATTCTACGGGAGATCTATGACTAAATAATATTATAATAAGAAAGATCGTATTTCTATTGTGTATTATTTATCATTTAAATACGTAAATCTTTCGCAATAAGATAATATTTTTAGTTCCATTATATCATAAATTGAGGCAATTTATAAAATAATAGAATATGGTTTAGCGTGTAGAAATAAATAATTTTCGTGTTCTTAATGCAGTTCGAGTTGAAAGAACTAAAGCGACGAGAACAAGAAAGGGAGGAAGAAGAAAGACGTAAAAAGGAAGAGGCGGCAGCGGCGGAGGCTGCACGTTTGGCCAAGGCGACGCCCGTTACTAGTCCAGATGAACCACCTAGCGAAAGGTAATGTCGTCAGTATCTTACAATCTGTGCCGCGACGTTATACGCGATTTTATGAATGAATTTTCTTTATTGCAGAGCTGAAACTGATGGGGCAACAAGTGGAGTAGGAGATGAGGAACACGGTAATATAATTGTATATAATGGATATGTTTTGGGTTTTACTAATCGAAACTGTGATATACAATTTTTCTCGGTACTTACCGCATCTTCTAATTCTGTCTACGGTTTTGCATTCTATTTGAAGATGTTGATATAGAATAACCGGTGTATAACACACGCATATTGTTTAGAGTATATAATGATCGAGTGCTTTTTTTCCTAATAGAATTATATTTTCGTGTTTGTATGTCTATGGACTTTGGCGTAGTAATGATTGCGATTGGTAGTAATATTGTGAATCGAAAGAGAAAAAGCGGAACAAAAGTAACGTTTCACTTCTTCATGACTAATAATCGCGATACAGCGAGGAATCTTGCTTTTGACGTAAAATTCAACTCTTGACGACTTACGTATTTACGAATACGGTTTGTCTGGATAAGCATGTGACATCGCTAACAGCACGTTTATTTTTGCCTTTTCCCACCCACGCCGAAACTTATTCCGATCCGTATTTCAAATCCGTCGTCCACGTCATCTCGTTTTTCCCCTTCCGAAATGCACCCATAATGCGGCACGGAATGCACGAACCACAGCGGCACATCGCAAGGCTTCTACACGTACACCACAGCAAGACAAGCCCAAAGAAGGTGAGTGTTACGCGGATATGAAATTTGTCAAAGCGTGACCTCTTCTATATTAGAGTATCTGTCGTCTATACTGACTATACCTTTTTAATTCTTCCGCAACTCTTTCGAACCACCATAGTCTCGAGTGAATCATGTCCTGTGTATAGGTTCCCATAATTTCACAAACTGGTGATGGACGGATGATCAAGTCACGCCTTCGTAGCAGTACTTAACGACAGCTTTGTTCTTCAGATTTCACGTTTCACGGAATTTGGCGTTAAGTCACATATGTCGCAATAATCTTACATCTTTCAGCGTATTTACGTCGCACCTATCGCTCTCGCCCGCATAAATCACTGTTTGCTTCCATTAACTTTTTCTCTAGCAGGTGATGGCCCGTTATTCTGCCGGGGAGATGTCCCTTCTGTCGCCTGACATCGGTCACGTTACGAAAAAAACAATTTATCGAACATTTTAAATATTTGGCACGCACACATGTGTGAAACCACGTGTAACAATTTGGTATGATGAAATGCGAAAATTCAAGCGAAATTTTAAATAGTAGTCACAATTTCTGGTCATACTAATCTCTCGCGAACTATTTCATTCATCTGGTAGGTAAACATTTGTTAACTATACTATCTCATCATCCCTCGCCTCTATCGCACGATTGAAATATAACGCCTAAATACATTAATGGAAGGTAAGCACATTTATGAAATCGTCTCATCGATTTAGAAACTATTAGAGAGGCATGAAATTGGATTCTGTCGTTTGTGTACATATTGTATAAGATTTGCTCGAAATATTCGGACGGTCATACCATTATGTGAATAAAAAAAAAATCACTGAACTCGTGATTAACTTCTAGTTGTGCTTTTACGCTCACAATCACAGCAATTGAGTAGTTAAGTGGTATATAGCACTGGTATAACCGTGACGGATATGTGCGACGCATTTAACAAACGATGTGTTATCCAAGTAATACATAGCATGATTTTTGTGATTGGTGTGGTGTAGTGCATGCACAAAGACCTAGGCAGCTGTCTTTCCGGGAAGGAGATGGGGCTCAGCCTGTCGTGGCGACGTATGTGAAACCACCGCCGCCGCCGCACGGTACCCGCACGCCGACAAGTAAGTGTTCGCAAATACTCAAATCTCGTAGCTACGTGTGTGTCGAAAGGTCATTTATTAATACATACATCCCGCCACTCAGCTGCCACGTTTATTACCGTGAGTGATTGTTCAAGATCATTTCGAGCCTTGAACGAGCTCGTTCACTTAATTGAATGTAAACCGTGTAGTTAACGAAAAAATTACATTTATCACGACTGAGGTATCCCAGGAATGGCAAATTGACGCGTGATCGAGATCAAGTATAATAAGTGCCAAAATAGTCTGGTTGTTTTCCGAAGGCGTTCTTCGCCGGCAGCGGCCCGTAAGGACACAGACTGCCGTTCTCATCCACGAAGCAACAAGCTTTTACGACCCGCAACACCTCGTCCACCGATCGCGGCAGATCGTCGTCGTTTATCGTCACGTGGCGTATAATCTGCTGTCTGTCTATAACGAACAGGGCCCTGTACGCGTACCCCTCCCTCTCGTTCAACACGCCGTAGTCCCGCGTTATCTGATGGCTCTTGTCGGCGAGCAGCGGTATCTTCATTTCGCCCAAGCCCCCTTGTTTACGCGGGGTCGTCACCCACGCGAAGTGCGAGAATTTGGAATCCGTCGAGACTGCTACTACCTCCGAGCCTAATAATATTAAAACGTGAGAATTAACGGTAAGACATGAGAGAAAACGTTATCGTAAATATAAAACCTCGGAACGAAGCACAATTAATTTACATAATGTAAAATAACTCCATTTTCTTTGTAAACGTTTGTTCGACGAATCATCTTTTTTTTTTTTTTTAAGTACCCTTTATCGATTTTGTCGTTGAAAATCGTATTTGTAGCGTCGTTAACGGGGAAGAAAAAAATGTAACTTCGTACCGAGAGCTCGGAATTCGGCGATGCGGTCGCTAAATTGGATAAGTTCAGTGGGGCACATAAATGAGAAGTCGCACGGGTAGAAGAGAAGTACCAGGTATTTCCCCGCGAAATGCTGCGACGACAGTTCCTGCATCTTCAGATCGATTATCGCGTCGGCCGACCAGGGTGGCGCGGGTCGTGACACCGCTGGTATTAATTGCACTAGCGGTGGGAGCGACGTCTCTGACCTTTCTTCACAACAAGAGTTCATCGCGAACGTGTTATTTTCATTACACTCGAGCGTACCGCCACCATCATTCCTTCAAGATTAGATACTCCTCGCCCTTAAGTTGCAAATTGTCGCGATCGCGGATACCTTTGAGTATGTCGTCAAAGGCGGATATACGAAACTTTTTACGATCGACTTTATTTTCGTTCATCGTCAGACTTCACCGTTCACGAGAAGTGTCGTCGTAGAAAATAAATAGTAATTTTATTATTCAATGGCAAGTATTTATACATTTAGAAAAATGAGCACACGTTGAATCCTCAAAAAAATTTTTAAACTTAATATTTAATATATATTTATATAAATTAAAATAAATACATTTGCTATAATATATACGTATAACTATCAATGAAATATTTATACGTAAATATAATTATATTTTAAATTAATGCAGCTATTAATATTAAATATTATGATGTGATAAACACGAGGTGTACCTCCTACTTGTTACATACAGTTTAACAAGCGTGCATTGCTCATCTGGCATCTTACGCATGAGCATGTTTGCATGTCTGTATCCTCGTATTCTCCGTACATTCTCTGTATGTAGTTAGAAGGCATGGAAAAAGTAACGCATAACACGTGTGGATATAAGGACTATTAGAGGCAAATTGTTTACCTGATACAAAAATCTCTGCTACAAGCTAGGGTACCAAAAGTAAGTAAGCTAATGAACGTTATGTGTGTTGCGTACGTCGTAAAGCTCCGAAAGGCAGCGGCTCCGAGGCTGCAAGGCGTAAGGAACGAAGCCGCAGCAAGTCACCGTTCAGGAGCTTCCGCTGGAGAAAGTCCGCCAAGTCGCCGAGTTTAGATCGCAGTGGCGTGAGTGATGATGAGCACAGTATTCCTGGTGAGTGAATGAGAAAAGATACTTACACGGTCGGCAGTTATTACACTTACACGTTCACTCGTATGCCATTTTTTTTATTTTTTTTTACTTTTGTCACTCAATCGCTCGTGCGGTTCTACTCCAATTTTGCGTATATTTACAGCTCGAAGTATGAAAACGGTTGGTCCAGTAATGGTTGATCCAGTAATGGTTGGTCCAATTTATAATATCTGACATCTAAACGATGTCTGCTCGAGAAAATCGGAAATATCTGCGCTAACATGATTTAGAATTCACGTTCGCGGAATTCTAAATTATTGTCAGAATGTGTTGTTTAGGTGAAAGCTGAGATTAGAGGGAACCCGACATTTAATCTCTTTACTAATCAACCTTGTTTTGGTTACATAGGATTTAACAATCACTTATCTGTTGTATATTCAAGAAGACAGCTGCAGCTGATTATATGTTATATAATGGGAAGACTTGGAATTAAATTGTCATTTATGCATTACGCCTAACAAATAAAGGAATGAGTAATTGGGGCTTGTTTTTGTGTTTCAAGTGCTGTTATAAACATAAATATGGCTTGTTGGAAAATTCAAACAAATTAAGCATTTCCTAAATTAGAATAATGAGAAATTGGTAAAATCGATAGAATTCTTACAACTGGACGGTGTATTCTATCGAATGCGTGTTGCGATTAATCCCCAAATATATTAATATGTCACTGATTATTTGCAGCTTTGTCGTTCATCCGAAGCAAGAGATGCAGTTTCTCTCATACAACATACATAGTTCATAATACATCCGAATTTGTTTTTAGCAAATAATTACTCCTCATCAAGCAGATCGTGAAAACCCGTTTACCTTTTCCAGAGCCACGAAGTCCGAGCGACGACGAGTTCGAGGGGCCGTTGCAGCGGAAGCACGAGTGGGAAAGCACGACGAAGAAGGCGTCCAATCGCTCCTGGGACAAGGTCTACATGGTCATACGCGGACAGAGCTTATGTGTATATAAAGATCAGAAGTCGTACAAATCCTCGCCCGATCAATCGTACAAAGGAGAGGCACCTCTTGATCTACGAGGCGCGACTATTACCGTAGCGAGTGATTACACTAAGAAGAAACATGTCTTCCGAGTCAAGTCAGTGCTCGATATTATATGTATATTACGCGCATTCCGCGACATTGATATAGACACCGTCGTGAACTGCCTTTTCTTTTTATAGGTCGCAAAGCGGATCCGACTTCCTGTTCCAGGCCAAAGACGACACCGAAATGAATGACTGGGTGTCCGCGCTGAATCAAGCGGCGCAAGGAACATCGGGTGCAAGCACATCCAGGGCCCACACCTTGCCAGCCCCGACACAAGCCGAAACTAAGCGGCGTAGTTTCTTCACTCTCAAGAAAAAGTAAGTGTTCATTGGGAAATCTTGCTATTGCAATATCGTATACACGAGAATTTTAAGATAATATGGATATTTGAACTGAGCGTAAGAATTTTAAGCGAATTAAATTATGTAAAAAAATTTTACAATGTTGACAAATAAAATATTCTCTCTTATGCCGTAATAAAATTTTAAATCTAATTGACATCTATCTGACAAATGTTGCGAATATTTATATTACGAATTGTATTAAGTTTTGCAGCGTTTCAAGTCAAGACGTGTACTCTTGTATATAAGGTGCCTGTTATTTTGTTATTATTATCTTGCTTCATCCTTTTGAACACGTCCCGATGAAATTGACAGAGAATATTCTGTTAGCAATAAAAAAAAAACATACGCGTTTATCATCTTCCATCTCACTTTACTTCCCTCTAACAACATTCCTCATGTTCCATCTTACAACACTAATGTCTCTTCTCTCGAAATAACCTATCTTTCTCTTCAACTATTCTGTTTTGAAATATTATTTTCAATTAATCATTAAACGATACGACAGCCAATGTTTTATTTGGTTGTCGTAGAGAACATTATTCATCGTCATTGTATCATTCACGAGTGACGGACGATCATCTCGTAAATCTCGTAAGTCAATGATTCGAGAAGATATTCGCGCCCTCACTCCACACCACACGAAATTCCATTCGTCGTTCTCCTATCGCATTCGATCATGTTGCATTTATCATATTTTAGAAAAGCCAAAAAGTAGAAAGCGAAACCAATGAACGTATGAAAACAGTACACAATTGGAACAACATTTAGAAATGCGGTGAGTCGCACACACAACCCTCTAGATCATTCTACCGTCGTACACTATTGCACGATTATAATTCGGCCATCATTCCAATTGTTTTTCCTTTTTTCATTTGATCTTTCGTTGTGATTAGCTTCTGGAAAATATAACGGGAATGTTCTTCCAATTGTGAATGCGGAATGATTAAGTAAAATTTTTCTGAATCGAGAGGATTTGGATGTGTGTAGAGCTTTCTGTGTTTCGCTACGAACAAATATTTAGCCAACGAGTATCTCGCAATAAAGTGCTTGAGCGATACAGGAATAAGATGTAGTCGAAAAGATTCTACGTTGATGTAAATTTCTGCAGAGAGTCTACCACTTGAGATTCTCTTGCAGTAACGACAGACATGTGAAACGCAATTGTTCTCTGCACTACATCGTTCGAAATCTACGTAAATAGGCGCTTTTTAATACGCATACATATATATATATATTATATATCTATCTGCTTTTATTTTGAATACTTTTTTTTATTTCGCATAAGATGGTATGTTATGTAGATACTCTCAGATTATATTGTGTATCATTGTCAAATTCTATATTGTAGCTATGTTCGACCACCCGCTTCTGACATCGTCATTTTACTCTTCACGCTTTTTCTGCTATCAGAATATTCCCAGGAACTTTTATCGTAGAGGTAACCGAATCGTCCGCGCGTCTACCTTCAGACGCGTGCGAGACACATATTGCACAATATGTGACTCCTTAAAGACGGAATATTTGCTATTTTTATATATTAGTTTTAAGCGGTATATAATTGTGTTTACGATGCGTTGAAAATTCTTATGTATGGTAGCATCCTTTTTTTTTTTGTAACATAATGTATTCCATAAATAACAATAGTGTATAAAATGCATAAGCTGCAATAAGTAGAAAAAGTATAACGGACTTACTTTCAAGTTTTGAGCGATGATTTATTGTCAATTATTGCGATTTGTCTTAATTGAAATTTTTTGCTAATACTAAACTTCATTTAACGCAACTCATTAAATATCTTGAGAAATTGTAAAACGTATTTTAATGTGATCCACGAGGATTTTGATTTCCTACAGTATTATATATCCTTTCTCTTGTCACCTCGGCGTACATATGATTATTACTAAATTGTAAGACAAGAACAGTAATTGGAAGTGACAATTATTGGTTGTCCTAATGATAAAATAATTATCACCTTTCACGTTTACTAATTTTCAGCTAAACTGGAGCAGTGAAGTACGGTGTAAAGCCGCTCGTAATGCGTCTGCACAACATCATGTTTGTGAGAAAATGTTTCGTCGCTCTACATGGTTAAAGCAACGCTAATATAAAATTAGAAGACACGGCCACGGTGTTATGAAATGAATTGAAGGACGGATTGAACGGGTCTTTGAAAACGCCTACTTTCGAAGATACGGAGATATTTAACGGTTATATGTTGATATTTACAAGTGTAGGCTATTGAAAGTCTAATTAAATTTAGTTCTTCAATGAATTTTTTGGACACTTTGCAATATTGCTAGTTGAAGAACAAGCGACATTTTTTCATGTCCCACGTTAGCGTGATCAGACTTTTCACACGGGATTTAATTTTATTACATTTTACGTATATTGACACGTATTAAGATGCACGATCATTTCCTTGTCGCGGAAAACGATGAAACAAATGATGTCTTCTTTGTGGTACAAAGTATTTTATAAGTTGCTGCAATGTCTTTACATTCAGCAATCTTGTTTTTTTTTTTTTTTTTTTCCAAATAACGTTATTCGATAGAAGACGAGCTCGATCTTGTTGATGAGTCTGCGAAGAACGTAGATTGGAGGAGATATATCTTAGTCCATGATTTACGATGATTTCTTTTTATAATTCTATACGATGAGTTCAGATTTTTAACGTCTCTCGATGCATTTGACTGCATTTCGCGCGAGTTCTCGTGTTACAGTGCAGATATAATCTCCGACAATACTGAAAGGAGGGCGAGAACGATTCCAGCCGTGTTGATCGCTTAGGATATATCGCTTTCATTATCATATTATCGCACCGCAGTATTTTACTTGACTTCTTTTCCTGCAAACGTGTCTGTTTGCGTTCGGATGACTGCCATATATTTTAAGAGCCACACTAACTTGGGACATAATATTATATATAAACTATAGCTTTTAACAAATTGTTAAATATGCAGCGCCCTAAGGGAATACCGCATTGAAGAATTATAAAGAAAATGTAACGACTAACAAGAGAGAGTTTCCCCCTTATCCTCCCTCTCCTACCCCC